TATATATATATATATATATATATATATATAGTTTTCCAGAAGTAGAATAGAATAACACAGTTGGAAGGGACCTTGGAGGTCTTCTAGTCCAACCCCCTGCTTAGGCAGGAAACCCTATACCACTTCAGACAAATGGTTGTCCAATCTTTTCTTAAAAACTTCCAGTTTTGGAGCATTCACAACTTCTGGAGGCAAGTTGTTCCACTGATTAATTGTTCTAACTGTCAGAATTTTTTTTCCTTAGTTCTAAGTTGCTTCTCTCCTTGAGTAGTTTCCATCCATTGCTTCTTGTCCTGCCTTCAGGTGCTTTGGAAAATAGTTTGACTCCCTCTTCTTTGTGACAGCCCCTGAGATATTGGAACACTGCTATAATGTCTCCAAGTTATTTATTACAGGAAGTCAACAGATACAGCTTAAAAACCTGAATTTATAGTGGTATAAATGTTTAGAACTGGGATTCGCTTGGAATATCCCCAACTGGCAGTTTTATAATTATGGGTACAGGAATGAGGGAAACCATGCACATTAATAGATCAATTAGCAATAAATTTGACATTTTGGTTAAAATAAAAATACATGCAAAATACACATAGTACCTTCATAGGAGAACACTTTATTGCAGTACCAGTCAGAGGTTTTAATAACAAAAAACAACTTTGTGAATATAATAGTTGGTTGTACTGTGACCTTCAAATACTGGTGGGCTGCCAATCTTTCTTATTTCTTTGTTATATTTAAGCAGCAAGTACAACATCGAGGAATTCCTGATAGCTCCCTTACTACTGTAAAACTTTTTTTAAATGAAGGTTTGCCAAAAGAATAATGAAATCTTCGCAAGGAAGAATTTTACTGTTTGACTAAACCAGCAAGACACTCAATTTGTTTTTTAAAACTTTAGCAGCCTGTTTTACTATTCAAAATTTGTTCATGTCATAGTTTTACAAATAATAGATAAAAGTTATATGTGGTACCAGTATCAATCTGTAATTTGTTTTTGTGGCTCCACTATATTCTTGTTTAATTTCATAATACTCCCTTTCCTTAGGTAACCATTTTACAGAACCAAGCTAATGGCCACTGCTCAGCAGCTGAGAGATTTACAGTACAATTTGGGGAGAACGTGAGAACGGGCTGCCAGTTCAGGTAACATCTTATATAGCCATTTACATTTTTGCTCTTCTTTTTTTTGTTAATTTTTTTATTTTTTATTTTTCAAAACAAACACAACACATAAAATCTTCCTTCTTTACATACTGTAGAAAGTGTATCAGTTG